CTGGTCAGTTCCTCGACCTGAAGGGAAACTCAATCCAGTGTAGATTTTGGGAGTTTCTAGGTGTATGTTTGTGTCTTATAGCTCAGCTGCGGGTGAATTCATGTTCTGTGTTGTTTGGTGTGTTTGAACATGTGAAAATTTGCATATGACTGTGATCTAGCTTATAACTGTGAACTGTGACAACATATTGACACTTCCAACCAGTTAACATAGAAGAAGAGATGCTAGGATCTTTTGTGTGTTAGAATGGGCTTTGTAAAGCATATTGCCCTTCCCTTGTGGAAGCTTATTCAGTATTTGGGAGAAGAGTTTAAACTAGCAGGTTTGAATGGTAAGTGATGCATGGACTGTCAGCCGATGATAAAAATTTATTAAAAATACAACATAATTCTCACTTATACAAATTTGTTTTTGTAATTGTTTAATTATTCATTTTTGAAGTCCCTTTAAGTAAATTACATTATTAAAGATACCTTTCATGTTTACAATATAATTAATGTTAAGCAAAATACATGAGACAAAAACACTGAAGGTTTTGTCATTGATATTACTACCATGGTTTAATCTTTATGGAATGGATGCAATAAGCTAGGGCAAATCGAAAATATTCTTGAAAAGAACAAAAAGTGCAGTCGTCGGTATAAGAAATAGTCTGCAGACACAAATGGTGATGCCACAAATAAAGAAAAAATTACGGAAAGTGCGGCTCATAGCCTAAGTCCACTCAGTGCTTCCAAGTTTCAGATCTTGTCTTGCCATGCCAAGGAGAAGACCATGTTTGCCGGGGATATTGGGGGTCACTCACAGTTACGATGATTTAGCTTGTTGAATTCAGTGTGTGACGTGGAGTTGGGGTCTTAGTCTTGTGTGTGCATTCGTACTGTAAAGATCCCCCCCCCCCCACCTCATCCCTGGGATGTGGTGAATAGTTGACTTTTTATATTTTTATATTCAGAATTTTTGAGATTTCAGGTGATCCCTCTGTCTTCAGGGTGGGGACCCCCTCCTTCTCCCTCCCAAATTAAGTTCCAGGGACAAGAAAATTAGAAATAGTTAGCATATAAGAATTCACAGGAAAAACTACATTTACTCAATATCAAGATTGACAAACTCAACATTTACCTTTATTTTTTTTATAGTTATGGGATAATGTTACAAGACACATGCACTTTGCAAGTAGGATTTTTCAAATTTTTATAAAGGGTGATTCCTATTCAAATTCAATAAGTATTTGCTTTGATCTGTGAAGTGGCCCATGTGAAGTCTTGACTGCAATGTTTGTACTAGTATGACACCAATTATAACATGACAAGATAGAACTAGAATTTATTATTGGCTGACAAATGGCCAGGAATGTCTAAAACTTTGCTTGTGGAAATGTGTGTAAACTTGCCCCCCTCCCACCCCAGCTGCACTTCTTGAGTAAATTTCATCTGCTGATCTAAAGATTTTTTCTGATTGGTTTACAAAGGTTTTCTTGGAATTTTTTTACCCAACCCTGATCCTTCATTTTCTCTTTCCATTCTTTTTGTTGGAATTTAATCTCATGGAGTGTAAGTTGATGGTGAAAGAGAAATATTTGCACATGTGTAGTTACAACCATACACACATGACCAGTGCAAAGTTAATGAATTTGGAACATTTTCCTCCATGATGTGTAGTTGATGCATGATGAAATTAGAATTTCTGTTCAGTCTGTTAGTATAATAAGAATTAGATAGAGGAAGACTTCGCTCTATATATAAAATTTGTGAAGTAGACCCATGGATTCATTTAAGCAAAAAATAATCCAAGCTCTGTCATATATGGTGGATGGTGGAGGTTTGCTGGTTCTTCTTTAACTCTGGCACTCATTCTGGCAACCATTGGCAACCATCTAGCCTTTCCAGTAAGGATTTTACTGGGGACAGTCGGCCCTGTTCGCTCACTCGCTAGAGCGAGTCATGATGTGTATACAGGTGCCTATATTGAAGGGTAGGCGTAGGCTATCCATGACGGCAATAGCCATGTGTGTCAGTAAAGGGTTAATTGGCAAAAACACGCAGGTTACATTGATTGCATTGCCATTTGTCACTAAATTTATTACCCAAAATACTGTGTTCTACTTCCCATATTTCATTCAATCTTGGGTGATCATCTGCAATAGTAGATCCAAAAGACACACAAAAATACACTGAGAATGAAGAATGACAAATTTTACTTGGAGATAGATTTTATAGTTTTTTGATTGTGCAACCAAGAGAAAGATCTGACAGGTGTAGCTCACAAATTGTATTTTATTATAGTAATTTTTGAAAATGTATACACATCTTGTAAGTACTTTTAATGTCTGTTTTGAATAATTTACCCTCAGTTTTGCTATATATATTTCCCATCCTTCCTTACTCTCAGAACTTATTGGTAAAGTATGACAGTTTGAATAGAGGGTTGAAGATGCCATTGTCAGTGAAAATATGTATGAACGTATTTTTGGTTAAATCCTTTGTGCGGGATCTTTTAA